AGATGCAATTACCCCCCCCCCACCCCGTTCCACTGGCTGGCGGAGTCTCATCTCGCTGGAAACAGGGTGCAGGGTCGGGGGGACCCACACAGGCAGGAGGGGTGGAGTGGGGCATTAACCATCCCTGCCCACCGCCCAGCCTGTGGGACTCAGTGCCGTGATGACATTGAGTGCGACTGCGAAATTGACCAAAGCGGTCTGTGACGGCGGATGGGGCCAGACCCACTGGGAAGCAGACCCTAATGTACAGGCCACACCGCTAGGCAGGCGCTGCTTGTCTGACGGCCGGCCTGCGTTCACCAGGGCCAGGCAGCGGCGCTCAGACACCGCCCTCGAGAACGGAATCTTCCGCGCGCAGGTCGAACCTCTGTAAACCGGGGCTCCCTGGCCCGGCAGCAGCCATGGGCCAGGACCAGGAGGGCTGGGGCCGCCCGGCGGGACCAGGAGCTGCCCCGTTCGTCCCTTCCCAGCTGATCATTGGCCCACCTTGCGTGATCACCGGAGACAGGCAGACAGCTACCGCCTCCTGTCTGGGAGGACACCGGCTTCTCCCCGTGTTTGGTCGCAGGCTTTAAAGCGTAATACAGGAAGTGCTCGGCTCTCCTCCCAGACTCCGCACAGTCGTACCAATCCCCAGGTGTCGTTAGTGCCCAGCGAAGAGCAACACCGGAATGTCGGGCGTGGCCCCTGGGTTCAGTCACTTCTCATTTGAGGGTGGCCCCGTCTCCCCAGCTCGCTCGCCTTGTTCCCTGGTGTGCAATTGTGCCGTTGTCTCTGCTTCACGGCCAGGCTGCTCCGCGAAGCGACTGTACGGCCTTTGGTCAGGCGCCACTTGCCAAACACACCTGAGGAGCGTGGTCTGAGCGCATACCCCGCAGACGCTTTGTACTGCCCCGGGCGCGCATCGTGCAGGGGCAGTAGGAGCACGCAGTGTGATGCGCGTTGGGGATCCCCCGTCTCCTGCACCCCGAAATGGCACAAACAGACTGCACCAGCCGGTGGAATAGAGGAAGTTTATTGCCTCTCCAGGATACAGCACAGCACAGATGGAATCTGGTCACAGAGCTGGGCTAGGATGCCTCAGGCCCCCTTGAGATGGGGGAGACTGGGCCCCTAAACTCCAGCCCCTTTCCCTAGGCTGTCTCCTCCATGCTTCCAGACAGCAACTAACTAACCCTCTTCCAGCCCTGCCCCCCAGCCAGGGCAGCATCCACCTTCCTTTGTTCCTCTCCATGGGGGGTGTCTGCCCACTGGTTTGCATAGTGACTCATCCTGTTTTGCTGGGTCGTGGTACCCACGGCAGCCAGTGGGGGTTACCCCAGAGCCAGCAGCATAGAAACCAGCCAGGTACCCCCACTACGTCACACGCAGTTACTGGGTTCTCATGCTGCCTGTTGGGTGTAGGTGGTGACAACAGTGTGTGAGCTGTCCTGAGTGTCAGCCTGACGAGTTGCTGGTGCACCGTTCTTCTCCTATGGAGGAGGAATTCTATTCTCCCAGTGCGGCTCCCAGGCCTGTGCCCGAAGCAGCCATGCACAGGTCAAGCAGCTTGCTGAAATCTGGCCTGGCCGGGCTTTCCCAATGCCAGGGCCGGCTCTGCCCGGTTGCCGCCCGCGCGAGCTTGTCGGGGTTTGTCTGTGGCAATGCAGGCAGGGCCAGCGAACCCCTTGCAAAGTGGGAGGAGCAGGTAGCTGAGGCTATAGAGCCCGGGGCTGGCCTTTGGCTCTGGGCTGTCCCTTTAGCAATTCCCCTTGCAAGGGGCCTGGGGAAACGTGGCTGCCCCTGCTCGGTGTCTTCCCCTTGACGCTCTCCCTGCATGCTTGAGTTCTGTAACCCCGGCTCCCAAGCGCTTTTAGGGTGTAGCCAAGAATAGCTCCAGATTGTGATGTCAGCTGCATACAGCTCTGCACGGCCTGCAACCTGTTGAATATTAGAACGGCCGGGTGGGGTCAGGCCAAAGGCCCATCCCCCAGGGTCCCGTCTGACATGGCCAGTGCCCCAGAGGGAGTGAACAGAACTGGGAATCATCCAGTGATCCCTCCCCTGTCGCCCACTCCCAGCTTCTGACAAAGAGAGGCTGGGGACACCGTTCCTACCCACCCTGGCTAAGAGCCATTGATGGACCCAACCTCCATGAATCTATCTAGCTCTTTCTCGAACCCTGTTAAAGTCCTGGTCTGCACAACATCCTCTGGCAAGGAGTTCCACAGGTTGACTATGTGCAGCATGAAGAAAAACTTCCTTTGGTTTGTTTGAAACCTGCTGCCTATTCATTTTTGGGGGTGACCCCTCGCTCTTGTGTTTGAGAGAGAGTAAATAACGTGATTGAGTCTCCGAAAGGTGGCTCCCGCGTCCATTCATCCAAAAGCTAACACTTTGCATTCCAAAAGTGCCAGATTGGTAAAAAAGGTGGAGTCCCTCGTGGGTGGCTGTTGGAGGTGGAGCCCTGGTAAAATAGGTTTCAGTGAGTCCCGGGGCAGAGGCTGGGAAGGGCAGTAGCAGGGGAGGGGTTTTCTGGGAGTCTGCCTGGCTACTCCAGGTGTGTCACTTCCTGTAGTGATGGGCCCCAGGAGCTCAGCCACAGCCGGACTCGATGGCTGGGGGGAAGCTCACCAGGGCCCTGCTGTGCTATCCCACCCCAGCGGGGGCTGGAGACAGACCAGAGCTGGGGGCGATCGGAGGGGTCCGGGTCCCAGCGGGTGAGACGCCCCCGCGTCGTCCTCTCACCTCTCCCCATCCTCAGGGACTTCATGGACCCCACGATGGACAGCACCAAGCACATCCTGAACTATCTCATGCCCCTCCTGCAGCGGGAGAGCCGCCCCCTCCACGACTTCATGCTCAGGTACCAGCGCTGGCGGGCGGGCCTGCCCGGGGGGGCGGCTCTCAGCAGGGCCCTCTCTCCCGGTCTGCAGGGCGGAGGTGGGGACGATCTTTGCCCTGAGCTGGCTCATCACGTGGTACGGCCACGTCCTCGCCAACTTCCAGCACGTCCTGCGCCTCTATGACTTCTTCCTGGCCTCGCACCCGCTCATGCCTGTCTACTTCGCTGCGGTGGTACGTCCGGCCCGGCCCGGCGCGGGGAGGGCGGCTGGGGGGAGCGAGCACGTCCTGCCTCTATGACTTCTTCCTGGCCTCGCACCCGCTCATGCCTGTCTACTTCGCTGCGGTGGTACGTCCGGCCCGGCCCGGCGCGGGGAGGGCGGCTGGGGGGGGCGCTGGGCCCGGGCACCCCCCCTCCCCGGG